AGCACAGGTCTCGCCAGGTGGGCACAGCCTTTGGGCATCGCTCCCTGGGGTAGCTACTCTAGTCCAGGGCACTGGGGAAGGCATTAGCCCTGAATGCACTCTCAACTCCCTGTCGTTTGCTCACCCCTCCAGCAAAGCAGGTGTCCAGGAAGCTGGCCGGGGCTTTTGGGTTCCGACCCCAACTCCGGGGCAGCATTAGACGTCCCCAGAACTGGTTAAACGAGCTGACAGCTGATCTGCCAGGCAGCGGGTGAAACCCTAGCCGGCAGTCCCTCCTGGAATAACCCCTGGGTTGTAACCCACACCCTCGGTGAGCAGCCTCTCGCACCAGGCCCAAGCCCTTTGCTGAGATGCTCTTCCTGGAAGTGCCAGGGCAGCAGTTGGTCCCGAGAAAAAAGCATCAGCTCTCTGAGCTGTTCAGGTTTTCCAAGCCTCTAAACTAGTCAGTTCCTCCCTTACAGGGATCCCAGCCCTGGACAACCCGTGCCATCGTGGGTAAGCGCCAAGCCAGATGCATACAAGGACACGTACTCACTCACAAATCCTTGGCCTGCCTTATCTGGACGCAGGCCTTGGAGCCAACCAGGGGATTGCGACTGCAAGACCTCGCCCTCGGCACTTCCATGCTGGATCTGCCCTTCAGAGGTCTGGGTGAGGACCAAGACCATGCACCAGGGGTAGCTGTGAACACACGCACTCCATCTCGCGGCTCATCCAATGACCTTATAACCCCGGGGTGCTGGAAGTGAGCTCCCAACTCGCCTGCTCCTACGTCTACTGATGGCAAAGGGAGAACACAGGCTTGATGCCCTGGGAGAGATTCACTGAGCAATCTCCCTGCCAGCCAACATCAGAAGTTGCTCAGGACTGCACGGGATCAGGCCCAAGAAGGGGAATGACGTGTGAGCCGTCCTACTCTGCAGCAGAGTAAAAGCAACGCGCGAGAGAGCAGGGAGCCCACCCGTTAGCTTGGCTCTCTGCAGTCACCGAGCTGTCCTGGACGTGCACGGAAGTGATGCGGATGCGTGAGCAACACACAGCAGGGCCGCAATCCCCCCTGCATCTGCATGATGGAAGCCGGGGGTGGGGGGAAGACGATGCTCCAGCACAACCACACGAAAGACACGAGGGCCATTCACACGGAAACCTGTACCGCAGCTGTGCACGGGATGCAACACAGAACAGCTGAGCCATAAAATATACATCAGGGGGAGAAAATTCCCAGCTCCTGATGGAGTGCGTGACCTCGGTGTCGCTCAGTCTCTCCAGCAAGAGAATGGGGGTGAAACGCAGCAGACGCATCACACGACTGAGCCGCATGGACCCCTCTGCCACGTCTGCGCGCCTGGGGGCAGCGCATCTGCGGGCTGAGGTCTCCTGGGACCCGCGCTGACGCTCCCTCTCCTGTCACTGCAAAACCGGGGGGGGGGGCTGCGGCACCTGGGAGCACAGGGGCCCGCAGGGACAGGACACGCACTGCGGAGAGAGACCTTGAAAGGCCCGAGCACTTCGCTGCTGGGCTGCAGAGTTCGAACACTGCGCTGGGGTTGATCACACCCCTTCTGCTCGTGAACGCAGACTGTGAGCTCTGTGCAAGTGTACAAACCTCCACCCACAGGCAGCCCAGCTGAGCTGCCCTGGAGGCATGCTGGGTTGTACTGGGACAGCAGGGACTCTGCCCAGTATGCTTTGAAAGTCAAGCAATTGGGGGGGGTGTCTGTCTTTCTCCCCCACACCCTCATCCTAAGCCATTCCCTCAACTCTGAATCCCAGACCAGATTTACAAGGCCCAAAGGTTGCTGGTGACAGGTGGGACCTGCCTCCTTTGAGACTGTGAGGGTGGGCAGGCAGAGCTCACCTGAGATCTCTGTGCAACCAGAGGCAAAGCAGCGGTGCTGGCTTGGAAACCTGCGGGGATCACCTGCTCAGAAAACCAAATGCAGCGATGAGCTGGGAGACCCTGACCCTGCCCGGCTACCACCACCTGTGAGCCAGCACCGGAGAGTCCCCTCCCAGCTGGCAGGGAAGTGCAACACAGTTGTAGCAAGGGGTGTTGGAGTAACGCTGCCATGGGGGACAGTCTACTGAGCTAAAAGACAAGGGTGAGTTGGTCCCCCGATCAATCGAGACAGACGATGCGTGGTTTGGCCTGTCACAGTGACGGGCGAGGGGGCAGCGAAAAACCTTTAACCCCCGCGCCTTGAAAGCAGCTGCTCAGCTCCCTCAGATTAGAAACGGACACGGATAACCGCAGACCTGAATAGCGTCCACACGTCCCGCCGGGCAGCGGTGGAGAACGGCACTTGCTAGGACACGGGGGACATTGCCGCTAGACACAGCAGGGACTGGAGACACAAGGCTTAACACCCTGGGAGGGATCTCTCAGCAGCACATTGACCTGGACCATGCTTTTCCTTTGCACCGTTCCCTCCTCCTCGCTCTCCACATCTGGAGCCAGTCAACGGATGAATTTGTCCAGACAACCTTTCCATCTCCTGACCTGACCACCTCTCTCCTTAGCACGGATGAAGTCCAAACCAGTCCACGCACTTGTATTTAGTCCTACACATGCAACTGAGGGCCAGATTTTGCGTCAGGGATGGTTTAGTCCGGGATGATCCTGCCTTGAGCACGGGGCTGGGCTAGAGGACCTGGTGAGGCCCCTTCCAGCCGGACTTTTCTAGGATCCTATTTTCTCTGACCTTGTTCTGGGAAGTCTGCCCGATGTCCCACATGGACATCCCCGGCTCTTCTTAGAAACCACCTCCTGGCCACCTGCCCGGGCTTTCCATCTCAAAGCCTTGCAGTTCCCACAATGTGCTATCCCTGCAGGACACACCTCACTGGGGTCATGCATAGCGTGTCATGTCAGTGCAATCCCTTTGCTAGCTCCCGGCGCCTTCCCACCCTCCCGCCCCAC